ACAATACCTCTGCATCCTATCCATCCTATGCACAAGAGTGATTGTACTTCGCAGATATTCCTGAACCTAACGTTATAAGTTTCGGAAAATAGGCGGGATACTGCCCCTCTGAAACTGGGCGTCAAATTAAAGTATCGGTTCCGTGAATTGTGAATGCACACAATTGTGAACCAGCACAGTTACCCGAAGCTTCCGAGGTCAGGCCAGAAAGCGAGAGGACGCTAAGCTTAGCACTTGTAACCAGGTGCTGCCTACGCTAAAAGTGATGGTACTGGGTGCACTCGGAGCTCCTACTAGGCACTCAATTTTACGCGCATGTTGGGATACTGTATCTCGACTGTTCTCCTAAACTTATAATTTAATACCACGGACTGTGCCTTCGAAGACACATTCACCAATGATCGAATAGGCGGAGACCTACAGCCATTGTTCAGTCCTTAATGGCAAGTCCCTTCTCTTCATTAGAAGAAGGTCACATCAATAAGGAAGGCAAATGATGATGGTGTCCGCCCATTTCTATGCCCATTCGCTCATCGTGGAATACACCCTTATTTCATTGAGCGTAGGCTGCAACTCAACCGAATAGAATTGAAAACTCATTCAGGCACCTTCTTTGTATCGGTCGCTCGTACTCCTTTCGAAATCGTTGATAGCTTTGCTCACTGTACGCGGAAAACATCAATCCTCCCGAAAGCCCATGCGACTGTACCGTATCGTAACGTCCAGCCAGTGGACCACCTCTATAAACGAAATTTCTTAGAATGTCCTTCCAAAAACTCAAGCAAACTTGCCCTCCACTAAAAAAGCTGACCTCATTTCTTGATTCTGAAGAAGCTTGTTAGGTATTGGCACATTGAAACGTTCGATGAGCATTTCCAACAGTTCGCTAGGCGTACAAAAAGATCGGTATGAAATTAGGAATGTTTGAACGTATTTGTTGTCCGTGTATCTGAAAAAACACTCATCGCTGTGGAATCACCGGCCACGGAAAATCACGTTCGCCACAGAATACAAGTGAACGGCTCGGGGCTGTTTGGGACAGGAGGGGCAGCTTGCAGTTTTGCTAGTTCCTCCTGCTAATTCACATTAATTAACACCTTAACTTTGGTAGGACCTATAAACTGCTGTGAAGCTACGAAATGGTATAAATGAGCCACTTTGGTCACAGGAATTTACAGATCTTAACAAGGTAGCCTGTACAACCTTTGCTGGATATTATATGGTGCCCCCCCACCCAAGCCGCAATGCGTCCCGTTTTTCAGAAATAAATGGCACAAAAAGATGGTGGCAAATACTTCAAAAGATAAAATCCTTCGGGAAAGGTTCTGAGGGCGGATCAAAAGTGGGGATGTTTTCACTCACTGGTGATATGTCAGTCTCTCAACGAGCTTCAGAACGGTGCCATTTTTCACAACGGGAATCCCGCTACTGGATGTGTAGTCCTCGAAGGAGATGTTTTCTTCCGAATCGGGCTCCGCAAACCTGAAAAGGCTCTTATTTCAAGAGGAACCGGAAATAGTAGCCATCATTCCCTAGCCCCTTTCTCAAACGAAAGTTCATGCTTGAATAAAACAATTCAAAAAGCTCAATGTAGCCCATCATTGTGACGAAACTTCCTTTTCTTGAAGGCACACCTTTCCGCGATGATGGGCGGAGACTAATAGTCACTGTGCCTTTCTCATTGGTGCGCCCTTTCGCTTTACCGTATTTGTATGAGGCGGCACCAATGATGAACGCTAAACGACCAGAAGTCTCCGCCCACTACTTACTGCAAGATGCGCCTTCATGACAAATGAAGTTCCCTCAGCATTACCTGTACTGATCAGGCCCGGGTGTAACAAGCGGGATTCGTTTCGCTTCTTCTTTCTCGTAGCCATCCAGGACGCGATCAAGCAGACTGAAACGTACAAAGGGAATCAGTAAACTTGAAGAATCACCAGAAAAAAGGAAAAAGCACAAAACTTGCTCAGCAGTACCGTTTTACAATCAATTTGACTAGAACTACTTATGCGAACAACTTGAGCATACCTCTTCGTATTCACGGTGACCAAAGCTGACATCCAGTCCATTTTCTCCTCAGCCGACTTACAAATCATCCAGAACGTCCGCGTTAGTTCTGGTTTCTCACGAGATTCCAAGCGAAACGAGTGACGCAGAACTAAATCAAACTATGCCATGACTGGTGGCCTCAAATTATAGGGTGAAGTTCAGCATATCTGTGTTGCGGCGAAGGCGACAAAAAAGGCGTTACGAGCTGAGTCATTCCCATCAGGACCCAACTCTTATTCAATGTGGCAGTTGAGAAATGTGAGACACTCTCTTGTGAAAAATACTCTGCCGGTTTAATCGAGTTTCGATTCTAAGGTCCCTGACCACGCCCCTAATTGGAGTATCTGTCTAATGTATAGTTCTATTTCCTAAGAAACAGCCCGAGCTGGTCATATGGGCGGAGTCAAGCCCACCGCGTCTTCCTTGTCGATGTCTACTCGCGCCTAGAACGTAAAGAAGTTGGGAAGCACAACAGGTGGTGCCCGACAGGCCATTCGTAGACCTTCTCGATTGGAACACCCTAGGTCAAAGGTACAATAGAAAAACTCGGACGCTGTATCGGCTTAGGGTGAGGCGCAGGGGAAGGGAGCGCATTTTGCAACTTTCGCTTGTTCTTTTGCCTGTTTCATATGGATTACCAGAACCAACTTCGGTAAGACTTGGAAACTCTCGTGACTCAAAGGGGTCCTAGCGAGCCACTTCAGTTCCAGAATTTATAGATCTGCACGAAGGGGACCCTGTGACGTGCGGGATCCTGCTGAGTACCGGTTCGAGCGCCCTACAAGCTGAATGGACCAAAACTTCTCTTGGCTCTCAACTTGAAAATTTCGAATTTCATTGACAGAATGAGAGCTAATGGAAAGAAAAATGTCTTCAAGTCTTACCATCGCTATCTTCAATATCGACGATATCCATGAGATTCACCGTGATCCTCTCTTTGAACTTGTAGGTCTTATGTTTTTTACACAGAACCAGCATATGATCAATAAAAATTATATGTCTGAAATGAAAATCGGTTTTGCGATGTGCATATATAAAAAAAGCCCTTATTCAGGGTAGATGCATGAAAAATTATTTTTTCAATGATTATAATTCAATGAGCTGGAACCAAAACTGCTCATAGAATCATGCTAATTAAAAATTAATTTTCGTCTTTAAGTCTAAGTAACCTGAGTGAAGCCAAACTTTGGAGCCTGTCTTGACAGGAGAGATGGTGGGGGGGGATCACATTCGGACACTGGAGGGAAAAGGGTCCTTCGAGAAATTTTCGGTGGTCAGTGGACTTTTCTTGGGATTTCCCCTTTCACGGCGCATACCCTCTTTCTCCTCCTTCGACGTAAAGTCTTGAGCAAAAGCGGAGAGCTAACTGCGAGGTGATAGGAGCTTGGGGAAGTCTGGGAACAGGGGAAGATGGTAAGATAAGATGGGGAAGGAGGAGAGTGCTAGCAAAGCGTAAATTTTCGAGGATTCGTACATTGAAAAAGTTTTTGTCCAGTCTGCAGCAGTGCGGCGCGCTCTCCTTAGCCAAGAGCAGTGATCAAATTTACGAGGAGGGAAGCATCAATGAGAGGCGTGATGCGCAGTTTATTGACCCACCCACTCAAGTGGCGAGAATCGTTTCTTCAGCTAATAGACTAGCAAGCGAATGAAAAAGAACGACACGCATTAGTGGGATTTCATCTGTGTTTAAAGTCCTCTTACCTTTCAGTCTTCCATCGCCCTTTCCTGATGATCTCTGGGGAAAATGTTAGTGAAGGTCGTACCATTTGCAAATCACCTTCTGAATGGCGACATATGAATTCTCAACAACAATTAACCAAGACAAGTAACAAAGTTCAGCATTTACTTTCGAGTCGCGAACCTAATCATTCAGAGACAGTGAGCAAGGATGACTGGGGGCGGCCAACGTCACTGGTTGGAAAGGGTGCGAGAAGGCGTTCGGCCACCCCACTCAGCCCTTCCAACATTCGTGACGTTGGCACTAACCGCTCACCCGTAGACATGCTGCCCACGGCCTGTGAAGGCGCGGTTCCACGTTAGTTGTATGAGCGTGATCAGGCCTACAAGTGAGTTCTTTATTGGCGTGCCACTCAGTGCGCACCCGTTGAAAGGAGCAAGCTGGATGGGAAGGGGGGCATCCAGATTTACACGACTTTCTACGAGTTCTGGGCGCCAGGAAAAAATTTTTTCGAGTGCTAATTTTTCACGCACTTTTCCCGTTTCAAGTTTATTGTACAGTCTTCTTCGCTGCGGATGCTGGGGCATATCAGAGTGATGAGTTAGGTGTGAGTTAGGCGCGGCACTAACTCACTTTCCCCTCAGTGAGCATCAACAATGATGGGGAAAACGGTCTGGCGCGGATGCTCCAAACTACTCTTTCCTTCGACACACCTCAGCGCCTCGACAGGACGAGTAAGCTGCGATACTCCGCTCGTCGGCAGAAGTGAGAAAAAGAAAAGCAAAAAAAATGGTTGGAAAAAAAGTCGGCGAAAAAGTAAGTGTGATGCGAAGGGAGCAAGGCTGTGTAAGGGGGTCGTCGCGTTAGAGAACAGTGTTGGGGGGGGGATCGCCTGACACTGCCATTTCTCCTATCTTGATGTTGGCCTGGTACACCCCTTTTGAGATGGTGAACAGAACCAGTGCAATGAGCGAAGAAGGCACTATAGCAAGCATAACTCCTACGCCCGGCCTTCTCTACAACCAGCGTGGATTTCGCCTTCAGACAAGAAGTATGAATAGAATTTGTTTAAGCGATCCATCCTGAAGCAAAAAAGGCGAAAGACTGCAAAAAGAACCCCACGCAAGAGCGCAGTTCATGATGATAGTGTGGGCGGAGACAGTCTGCAACAGTCCACATCGACTACTGTGAGCACTTCACTGATGCGCCCCTCCACTTTATTCTCTATCAAATGGGGGTAAGGCAGAGCAAACGTCTACCGACTCCGCCCAGACTATCAACATGGACATCGACTTCGAAGTACAACAGGAAACAATGGAACTCGAAAACCTCAAGATTCTCACGTTTAATCAGCTCGGAGCACGTTTTTCCAATGGGATTACCCTCGAAACCTTCGATACTCCTCTGAATCTCTTGTAACCGACTAAGTTGCGAAATTCTTGAATCGTACCGATTGAAAAGCTCCCTGTAATGGGAAAACCTACTTTACTCAAAAAGAAGCTAATCGTGGTTGCTCTAGACATAGCAGTACCGGAATGTACGACTCACGATCTGTTCTTGATCATCGTCAAATTGTTGTGATCAATCGTTTGTTCGAGTTGATTGCCAACAGTTGTCAAATACAACTTTGAGTTCTGCAACATACAGTCATGATCTCAGCAAACGATAGGTTGTGTGAGGGGGCGTGGGTTGGAGTGCTGCCAAGGCAGTTTCTCCATCAATGATGCCATACTAAGTTCGCAGCAGACGGCAGGAAGGACTATTCTGGCCGCTATCCTTCTCACGCCCCTTCGTACGCCCTATCTTTTGCAGGGATCATTACTGTAGCTCGGTTCTGAGCACTAAAATACAAGGAACCGTAACATGCGAATTACCTGCAATTCAGTCCGATCTTCTTCATTGTGAGAGTATTTGAGAAGTTTCTGAAACAACACTCATTGCTGTATTCTGGTAGAAAAAAAAGAGGTTAGTTCCCAACTGAACAGTGAGAAGACATATTTCGATTCAAAGTGTCGCGCCAGAGCCTGAAAGAAGCGGGCAGGCTCAGAGATAACGACACAGAAGAGAGCTCAGTTTTTTTTCACGCAGTCGAGTAGCGTGCTAAGGGGGGGCGAAGGTTGTCCACTAAGGATGACAACGCCAGAAAAGGTGCAATACCTAAGTTTCATGGGATGTCTGGCCCCATACAAACCATATACCTTTCTGACCCTCCTCTCAACTTCTCTTCTCAAAGGGAGACGCCAACGGGCGCATACCAAATGCACTCACTGGTGGGGTTTCTCCACCAGGGCGCTTCCAGCGTCTTACCGTTAGGAGTATACTTTGCAAAATACGCCCTCCTCCCGCCTTCTTCCTACTTACTACCTACTTAATTTCGTTTTTTTTTATCGAAAATCCTTTCACCCCCAAAAAGTGCTGTGCAGTGGAGTATATAGCACAAATTTTTTGTCGGCGCTGCTTAACTCCACTTCCTGCTTTTCCTAATTCTAAATTGCCAGCCTAGATTCCCAAAAAACAGGATCGTGATTGGTGACATGTATTCCTCTACGCAACAAAAACTTACATTTACATATTCCAAATAACGAAAGAAATGTATCAAAGGTGCATGTAGAAGTGTGGGAAGCACATATTTCATGGCTAAACGGAATGTTGGACCATCAAGGGAAACAGTGTAGGAACGATCGTCATTCTGAAACTGAACTTTTCTGAAATTACAGACTGTCCTGAACCTTGAATGGTCCTGGATCCAAATCAAATGACCCACGTCGAATAATGTAGCGTATCGTTTATCCTCCAGTATTTCCTCTATAGTTCTTGTGATGACAGGTGTCAGAATCTGTTCTGGCTCGTCGTCACGACCCCGTTTCAAGTATGCAACGTACCTGAGAACATTCTCGTTGAATAAAAGTATTTATGAAACCCTAAAACATAATTGTTTAGCGGGAAAATACTCACCCCGCAAACTCATACGCCTCAGCTAATTCCCACAAACCCATTCCGATACAGGGCGAATCACTCATTTCTATTGAATCTTCTAACGTTCGTCCATTTTCATCGTTAACTCATGAATTTCTGATAAATTTCCAAACAGAAGACGAAGGTAAACCTTGAAACAAAAAAAATTAATACAATTTAGAAAGGCTAATACCTCTCTACTACGTCACGTCAAACCTGCAGCTATCGGATTCTAGGCAAAAGATGCTAGCAAGGCTAAGACAGTTTTTTACATGTTTTATTTCTTTTTTGGCTGTCATCACCCCTTTATAAAAAAGTTGAAGTATATGAAAGAGAAGGAGCTACGAAAGTAGTGCAATGAACTCTTTTTAAGCCTTTCAGTTATTCTTTTCTTTGTTCAGAATGGATGATGGAATGACGGTAAAAATATGGAAGACCGCCGCAGTTTAACCAGGGGTGTGGAAAGGGGGATTTTGTACATGTCACTGCTTCCTAGTTCCGTGTTTAGCATGCCTCACTCTGGCGAAAACCTGTGACTCTGTAAAGCTGGAAATAAGGTAGCCAAGCCATCATGTTAAAACCTGCCAACTCGAGAAGAGGCTGTCTAGATAGTCGACACGTCGATGGGAAGTAGCAAAAGTGCAAAATGCTACCCCCCTGTTGCTAAAACTGCGCCTGGAAGACTTACCTTGTCTTCATCCTGCAAAACGCTTTCTAATCTACGGCGAAACACATTCACTTGATTCAGTTCTCTAAGATACAGGCGTTCTTCTTTCAAAAAGGTCTGATCGCATATCTGAAAACCATTAAGCGAATAAGACTTCAAATCGCGAGCAAATTCAGCATATAGCACTACTGGAGCAATAAATTCACAAGATTATCACCTCGGAGAAGGACTATTGGTCCTCCTTTTCAAGTGCTACCTGGCTGCAATTATGTCGAACTCACCGATTCATACGTCGTGTTCTTCTGCTCCTTCTCATCGTCAGATTCGTCAAGATCGAATTCATAGAAATTTGACAGAAATCCGCCGGGCGATTGGTCGTCATCATCGTTTCTCAGTGAGTTCGACAGTTGCATTAAAGCCTTCAAGGGGAAAGGTTAAGGCACTGTTCATGGTGATCATATGGGCGGAGACAAACAAGTGTTGCGTTTCCCCCGATGGATCACTGCCTCCTAGGACAGCATGTAATGAGAAGGGCTACAGAGAAGGAGACATAATGGCTAGCTGTCCTCCCAAACTATCAAGGAGTAGCGCCAGAAGGGGAAGGGCACGGAGCAAATCGTCCAGCACACTACTTACCTCAGGTTTGTTGTACTGCTGAAGAGCTCAAGCCCGTGACAAACATACCAAAAACCCAGGATTCTACATGATTGGCTAGTGACAATACCCCCTCACAATCACTAATTTGGCCGAACGAGACCAAGACTAGAATGGCGCATTCGAGCACATCATTGTGCTTTCCTCATTGATGCGGCTCCCCTCTCCAACAATCTCTTAATTCCAGTTCCCGGGTATGTCTCCCATCTTGTATGTCACCTCTTTGCTGTCTTAAGCCCAGTTCCCCATTCCTGAACTGTCCCGGAAACAAAAATAGTGAATTTAGTTCGCGACACAGCTCAATTCCGGCGCACGCTCCGCCCACTGGGCGGGACTTAACATCGAAAATGTGTGCTTCTCACATGTTGTCCCATGCCCTACCCACACCAACCCTGATCCAAGCTCTTTTAGATGTTCTTCCGCAAGAACATATAGTAGGAATTCTGAGGATCTATGCAAGTGCACAGGTGCCTTACCTTATAACTGTGCCCCGTCCGCGCTCAGTTGCAATTTTCAAATTCTGAAGATTGATCTTTTTATCGGAATTTCGGATATTCTTCACATAATTGCCTGTCCATTTCATGATGTCCTTAAGAAGAAAAATGTCTGAATACGGGGTATTTTCCGATTCCCAAGAAAAGCTATACCTCAGAGATTCCCTCACAGATCGCTATCAAATAATAGGCCATTTTGTCTATTTCCTTATCCTTTTCCCGATCTTTCTTATCCTTTTCACGTCCTAGGTTGTCCTAAATGCACTCATATAGATATAACCCGCAATAAAAAAGGAACTGAAATGCCACAATCCGAGCTGTTCATGGGGGAGGAGTGAGACCTCAAAATGTGCCTTCCTCATGAGCGTGTCCCTACTCTCTGACAAGGTTAATAGTGCGAAAGCGTCAATGAGGAAGGCACAGTAGTAGGTATGATAGGTCCTGATTCCGCCCCTATGACCGAGACGTGGACTGTTGGCCATCAATGGTATTCCATGGCTGGGGAACGCAGAAACGAATAACGGGAAAAGTGGATTAGCGAAAGCGAGGCGCAGTTTGATCGACCGACGGGAGGGGGCATTTGCACTTTTACTACTTCCCATGGACGTGTCAACTTAGCTAGACAGCCTCTTCCCGAGTTGACAGATTTTAACATGATGGTTTGACAACCTTGTTCCAGCTTCACAAGAGTTCACAGGTTTCGCCAGAGTGGAGACAATAATTATGAACTGAGGAAGCAATGAGAGTTCAAAATGCCCCCCACCTCGTCAAACTGCGCCGTGAAATGATAGTGAAGAACGAAATATAATCTGGAACGAAATAGAATCCGGTACTAAGCTAAACAAAATACCTGTCATACCTTTATAATGATAGTCATCTTGTGGTGAAGATCATGAGGTAGACGGGATGCGCCGAATCGACCTGTGTGGAACTTTCGACTGCTTATAGCATGGTTGTACATCGCATCCCAAGCGTCCTTAATAACATCATTTATTTTTGGCAACATATAAAATACCGAAAAAATAATGAGAAAAGCAGTTCAACCCCCTACTCAGTACGGGTTTGAATATTGCTCATCTTCTTGGAACTAGGTTAGAGACACAGTTCGAGTCGCACAAGTGGGACCTAGCCTACCAATCTACCTTTCATGTCGGCACCCTTGGGACTAGGATGCACCAGTTGGGGTATACTATCGCTATGAAACCACGATAGGGTGTTGTAATTTGGTTGCGGGAAGGGCTGGAAGGGGGGGGGGGGGGTCGTATTTCACTTCAAGGAGCTTCTGATTGCTGATTTTTTTCCCCATTGCACACGCGCTATATATCCCCGCTCCATGATAGATTTTTGGTCATGGAGTTAGATGGCTAGATAGTTGGGATTAGTGGAAATGGGTTTAAACCAGGGTGAGAAAACCCAGAAAAACCCGTGAAGGATACTTTTAATTCTCAATCAAACATCATTAGGAAAAAAACCTAAGCTGGAGACCGAATGCCGCTCACGGCGCTCACCTATAGAGCAAAGGACTAAAACTGAAGATAACCCGCTTGTGAAGGGGCAATGAACTTGAGGTAATTGCCAACAGTTGCAGCTACCTCCACGGTCGACTTTTATTTGAAGCAAAGTCATTGTGGGCAGTTTATTGAACAAACATAAGATGCCGAAGGTGAACGTAACGATAAAAACCAACAGTTTCTACCTCTCGTTTTAACAAGGTTTGCAAATGAACCAACTATAGTTCCCAGGAAATTACCCACGTCTGTTGAAGACATATATCGCGATTACCTCTACCAAAAGCGTTCTCCCCGACCCCTTGCTGAGCTGATTCGTTTCCCGACGTGTTAGGTGCACATTGCTGAGACGGGCAAGCGACTACGATTGGTGAAAAACGGGCTGACGCCGCGCCCAGCCCAACCCTCCTGACACGCCTCAGCGTCTGAAAGGGAAGCGATCACATATACGAGTTCACAGCCGTA